CTAATAGCTTCTTGTTCCTAGTAGCGATGCCAGGAGCCCCTAGTAGCTTCTTGTTTCTAGAAGCGATGCACTTGTTACTAGTAGCTTCGAGTGATCCCCACTATGACATTTCAATCATTTTGTCTTGATGCCATAGTGAGGAGCATGTTGCCATGGTCGTGAGTAATGTAGTTCTCGATTTTGCTTGCGGGTCCTCGGGTTGTGTGCTGTGGTTGTGTGTTGTGTTTGTGGTTGGGTGCTGTGTTGTGTTCGAGGTGGTGTGTTTGTGGTTGTGTGTTTGTGGTTGTGTGTTTGTGGTTGTGTGCTTGTGGTTGTGTGGTTGTGGTTGTGTGTTTGTGGTTGTGTGTTTGTGGTTGTGTGTTTGTGGTTGCGTGTTTGTGGAACACTTGGGCCTGGAGCTCGCAGTTGAGGTCCGGCAGGGAACACTGGGCGTGGATGATCGTGGTTGAGGGCCGGCGGGGGAGGCGGAGGAGGAGGCCGCGGAGGAGGAGATGGCGCTGACGTAACCCTCACCTGACAGGTGGGGAACTACCAACGCAACGGCCAAAAACATTTATTCAGGTTATGTACTACGGGTGGGTGTGTGACATGTAGGAGTGTGTGTTTGGAGGTGTTTTGGATTGGGCAGTCGGTGATTGCCGCTCCGCCGCAGGAATCCGGAGAGACAAGAGTTTCCCAGCCCTGCCCAGCAGGTAGCCACCAGAGTTTACCTGGAGAAGCTGTTTGTGAAGCATGTCAACCAGGAACATCTTCTGCGGAGGACCACAAATCACTAAGCAAAATAATGTTGGCTAGTGGCTTGATGCAATGTTGGTTCATGCACGCTCCTAGCCTTCACAAACATGGGGCCTTGTCGTGTGACTGCTGTTCCGAATGACAAAGAGTAGCGCTCAACGATGGGCTCCAACCCAAGGGCGATGGCCTCCAACCCTACTCGCGATGGCCTCCGACCCTATTAGCGATGGCCTCCAACCCAAATATAGCGATGGCCTCCAACCCTGCTCGCGCTGGTCTTCCACCTAATAGCGATGGCCTGCAACCTACTAGCGATGACCTCTAACCTGCTAGCGATGGCCTCCAACCTGATAGCGATATCCTCTTAATAATATAGATGAACACTGTGGTTGCTCGAGATCAACCAGCCCCTTCGGCTCCTGAGGAGGGGATGGTGGAATGCGCCCCATGCGGGCTGGGAAAGTATGCAAATTTCAGTGGGATGAAGACATGCATCCAATGCGGGGCCAACATCACCTCAGACAACGAGAAGCTCCAATTGTTCACCACAAGCCAGTTGGTCGTGTCAAGCGCAGGTGACTTGGAGTAATCAGTTGTGCTCAAGGATTCGAACGAAGAAACGTTTTTGTAAGTTAGCCCATGAGTTTCCATGCTAAACACCTAGAAACTGCCATGTTGGCTTGGAACTGTTTTGCGCTTGCAAGACTGAAATGGCGCAGCAAGTAGGTCAACAGTGGATCCCAGTGCAAGGGGCATCCTCGGAGCAACTTTGCGGCTGCGTGGCTGGAGCGCACCGAACATCCGCTGGGCTCTGCGCGCTTTGCCCTGAAGGACCGTGGAATGTATGTGAGCATTGCACTGTGCCGAACTTCCAGGCGACGGCGACTCCAAAAATCTTAGGTTGGAGGCCATCGCTAGCAGAGCGACTTTGCACTGCCTTGTTCAGCATTTGCTCCAGGAGCCGCTTGTGAAGGATCCAGGCTTCTCCTTCTTCAAGGCGAGATTGCCCCATATGTGTGTGTGTCCACACCTGTACCGAAGGACACCATCCAGTGCACGCTAATTCGTTCTACTACTACTTTTAACTCACTAGGCGGAGAGAGGACGTGCAAGGCTCTGCCCAACGAAGCTCTTTGCACCAGTCCTAGGAAGCGGGAGCTGATCACCCCTATGTACCTGCAAATGTCCTGACTCCCCTAGCGAAGAATCCCAGTCTATGTCCCCCTGTCCAGGCCCCATCTATCCCCGAGGGAACCTCGCAGGCCAGTTTCCAAGACTGTCTCTAGTTTTTAGAAATAAGTCTGCCGTTGTCTGGGGGCTCCGTCTTGTGTTTTGGGTTCCCTCGCTTTCACAGAAACACGCCAATCCATTTGCCGTGCTCTGTTCTGCCTACTTTGGGGACCCGGGGAGCGAAGATGTCGCCCCACCCCCCTGCCCAGTTCAAATCCACGATAGAGGACGCGTTGTGTTCGCCCCGTGGCGGCGCAGGGCGCTGCCCATGGTATACGGTACATCCAAGTGCCACAATTGGGGGCGCAGTGACCACGCCATCCACTTCCCTGGGGGTCGGCGTCGGCAGGATGTCGCCCATATACACCCCCCTGCCAGGGGCTCCAAACCGGGGGTGCGCGTTGTAGTGTGTGTCCCCTACCAAAGAATCCCCGTCTATGCCCCCTGTCCAGGCACTATCTATCACCGAGGAGCCCTCGCAGGGCAAACTGCAAAGGTGGGTTCCACAGGACGCGTAGTGGTCTGCGTCCCGTGACGATAGAGGACGCGTTGGGTTCTGCGCCCCGTGGCGGCGCAGGGCGCTGCCTATGGTCTAGGGTACATTCAAGCGCTTTCAGAGCGCTGTAGGTTGCTGACGCGTCGAAGCGGTAGGGCGCGGTACGTACTGCGGCCCACGACGGAAGGAGCGCTGTCCCGGCCAGGTGCGTTCCACCGGCGCGTAGGCATGAGTACAACAATGCAATAAATAGGTTAGCCAAAGCCTAGAGCATTCCTAGCATCCAGTCGAAAACGTAACAAAATCTAAACAAAGCCAGGAGCATTCCCAGGAAAAATCAAGGGCATTGGTCGGGAACACTGGCATAAAATAGGTTAGCAAAAGGTTAACAATTTT